GCTCAAGGCTAGCGCTCTACCACTTGAGCCACAGCGCCACTTCCGGCTTTTTTCTTTTTGCTTATGTGGTGCTGAGGAATCGAACCCAGGGCCTCAGGCTTGTAAGGCAAGCGCTCTACCACTGAGCCACCTTCCCAGCTCTGGGGATTCTTTATAAGAAGAGACATCCAAAGTTAGATGTGGTTTCTCTTGCCTATTATTCTAGCACTTGGAAAACTGAGACCAGAAGATATAGAGTTGAAGGCCAGCCTGGGCTACATAGCAACTTCCTATGAAAGAAAAAGACAGGATAGAGTCAGAAAGACAGACAGAATAGAGAGAGACTATGGCATTGTGAGCTGGCTTTCTTCTTCAGCTCAGATGCAATAAGGTAAGCTCCATGAGAACACAGCAAAACGGAGCAATCTGTAGACTCTTCAAGCCAGGGACAGAGCCCTTCCCAGAAACCAATTGAAAAACACCCTGTTCTCAGACTTCCAGTCTCCAGAACAATGAGAAAAGAGTTTTTCTCTTCTTTTTTTTTGTCTTTTCTTTTTTGGTACTGGGGATCGAACCCAGGACGTTGCGCTTGCTAGGCAAGCGCTTTGCCACTGAGCTACATCCCAGCCCGAGTTTTTCTCTTCTTTAAGCTATCTAGCCTATGGTATTTTTGTTATGGCAGCTTGAGACAGCTACATAAAATGATCTCACCCTGAACAAAAGTGCTACTAACAAATTGTACTTACTGGAGTCTCCTGGAGACAGGGAACCCCTGGGTGGCAGAGGAGGTATCAGGCCTGGTGATTGTTTAAAAACATTTCTAGAGAGAAAGAGAAGAAATCAGGGTTAGGTTTGGATCCACTTTACTGTCAACAGGTTTAAAAAAAATCAAGGAATATGAAATGCACTAAACCTTCAAATCTCAGTCTCTATAAACCAGAATCATTTCCTTTCCTTTCAGGTCCTATATCTAATGTGTAATTTCCATCCTAAAGAATTCTTTTCCTCTGGGTTGGAGCATTGTCAGGGAGTTGACATGTTATAATTTAGAATATAGAGTGCCTTTCAGTGTTCCCCCAAGCTACATTAGAAAAGGGAGAGATACTCTTGGCATATTTCAACTTGCAAGGTAGATTTACTTCTGATGTTGAATATTAACACACTCAAGACAGCAATCCTGCTATGGAATCTCTATCTACCTTGGTGAGATATTTGTGCATGTTCCCAGAAGATATGAACTGTAGCGAGGCAGGGTGGCTCACTGCAATCCTAGCTAACTCAGAAGGGTGAGATCTGAGGATCCTGGTTTGAAGCCAGTCTGGACAGACAAATCTGAGACTCTTATCTCTAGCCAGAAAAGACCCACAAGGGTGGCTCAAGTGATAATGTGCCAGCTTTGAGTGAAAAAACTAAGTAAGAGTGAGAGATGCTCAGTTCAAGCCCTAGTAACTGTTTGTACATGCACGTGCATGTGTGCGCACACATACAGACTGACAGACAGAGGCATGAACTAGAATGTTCAGAGGAGCTTTCATAACAGCCTTGCTGTCATGGATGTTAATTATCCCTAAAGGCTCAGCTTGTCACTTTTGGGAAGTGATGCATAATATTAAGAGATAGGGTCTGGGCACCAGTGGCTCACGCCTGTAATCCTAGCTATTCAGGAGGCTGAGAGCAAAGGATCTCAGTTTAAAGCCAGCCTGGGCAGGAAAGTCCATGAGACTCTTATCTCCAATAAACCACCAGAAAACCAGAAGTGGAGCTGGGGCTCAAAGTGGTAGAGTGCTAGCCTTGAACAAAAGAGCTCAGGGACAGAGCCCAGGCCCTGGGTTCAAGTCCCATGACTGACCAAAAAAAATCATAATAAAGAGAGGGGCTCGTGGGAAAGAGTGTCTGTACAGGGGATTATGCAACTCCAACAATCCTCCTTCCCACCCTTCCTCCCTCCCTCCCTCTCTCCTTCCCTTCTCCCCCTCCTCCTCCTCCTTTTTTTTTTCTTTTTCTTTTTTTGTTGTTGTTGGTCGTGAGGCTTGAACTCTGGGCCTGGGCTCTGTCCCTCAGCTCTTCAGCTCAAGGCTAGCACTCTACCACATGAGCTAGAGCGCCACTTCCGGTTTTCTGGTGGTTTATTGGAGATAAGAGTCTCAAGGACTTTCCTGCCCAGGCTGACTTTGAACTGTGATCCTCAGATCTCAGCCTCCTGAGTAGCTAAGCTAACAGGTGTGAGCCACTGGCACCTGGCTCTTTTTTTTTTGCTCTGGCCATGAAGAGGTGAGCAGTTTTGCTCTGCCATGAGCTCCCTGATGTGGTATGCTGGCCAAAAGCCACTGAGCCAGCTGGTCTCAGGAACTTCCAGATGATAAGCCAAAACAAACCCCTTCTTGTCTGGAAGCTGGCAATCTGTACAGTAACAGAACCTAACATAAACCCCAAACTGGATATGACCTGTCTTAGCTCAGGTTCTCCAGAGAGACAGAGTCACATACAATTAACCATGACACTACCCAAATGCCCACTAGCAATACAGTAGTCTACTTCCAGCAATGAAAATGACCCAGCAACCAACTATACACAACAATGTCAAGGTTGGGGATGCAGCTTAGCATAGAGCATTTGCATAGCATATGTGAGTCCTGAGTTCAGTCTCTAGCACCAAGAGAAGCAATGTCAAGCAAAACTTGCCAGACAGTAAACAATCCATCCTGAATGCTTCCATGCATTTAAAGCACAGAAACCACAGTAACAAGAACTCACAACTGGTACTTTGTGACATGGCTAAATCTAGGTAGTGTCTCAAGTAAATGTCTGTGTAAGGTAAGCATCAAAGGTATTAGTAATATCTAGGTCTTGACCTGGGTGCTAGCTTCCTGGGCATATTCTGTGGAAGTCTGTGGAGTTGTGTAGTTTCAGGGTGCATTCTTTTCTTTCCTTCCTCCCCTTTCTTTCTCCCTCTGTTCCTGCCTTCCTTTCTTCCTTCGTCCCCTTCCCTCCCTCTCTTCCTCCCTTCCTCCCCCTCCCTTCCTCCCCCCTCTCTTCCTCCCTCCCTTCCTTCCTTCCTCCCTCCCTCCCTTCCTTCCTTCCTACCTTCCTTCTTCCCTTCCTCTCTTCCTTCCTCCCCTTCCTCCCTTCCCCCCTTCCTCCCCTTCCTCCCTTCCTTCCCTCCTTCCTTCTGTCTTCCATCCTTCATTCCCACACACACACTCTCTCTTTTTTATTTTTATTTTTTTTGCCAGTCATGGGACCTGAACTCTGGGCCTGGGTACTGTCCCTCAGCTCTTCAGCTCAAGGCTAGTGCTCTACCACTTGAGCCATAGCGCCACTTCTGGTTTTCTGGTGGTTAATTGGAGAAAAGAGTCTCATGAACTATTCTCCAGCTGGCTTTGAACTATGATCCTCAGATCTCAGCTTCCTAAGTAGCTAGGGTTACAGGTATGAGACACCAGTGCCTTCCTTCTTTCTCTTTTCTATTTTTCTTTCATTTGTTCTTTTTTTTTTGGTGCCAATGCTGGAGCTGAAACTTAGGGCATGGATGCTATCTCTTAGCTTTTTTGCTTATGGCTGGTTCTCTACCACTTGAACCGTGTCTCCACTTCCAGCTTTTTCCTTGTTCATTGATGAGAAGAGTGTCCTGGACTTTTCTGTCCATGCTGGCTTCAAACAATATTTCTCAGAAATTATCCTCTTTTGTAGCTGTTTACAGGCATGAGCCACTGGTACCTGGCTCTGGTTGTATTTTTCTACGTTCATATTATTCTTCAATGAAATATCTTAACGGAACTGCCAGTTTTATTCTTCATAAAGGCATTATTTTGGTCATCTATCTGACATATTTGTCTTAATCCTTAAGGAGAGAAAAATGAGAGGAAGAAATTTTCTTTGAGCCAATAATAACATCCAGTTTAGAAATTGTAGATTTGAGGGCTGGGGATGTGGCTTTGTGGTTAAATGCTTCTCTAGCATGCATGAAGCCCTGGGTTCGATTCCTTACTACGACATAAACAGAAAAAAGCTTAAAGTGGCACTGCGGCTCAAGTGGTAGAGTGCTAGTCTTGAGCAAAAGAAGCTCAGGGACAGTGCCCAGGCCCTGAGTTCAAGCCCCAGGACTGGCAAAAAAGAAAAGTATAGATTTGTGTTTCATATAGTGTGTATAACTCAGACAAAAGCCTGGCTCTTGATTGGCTCCTAGTGATCATGTGTAAGCGCTGTGCTATTCTCCTTCATAAATACAGCTCTACATACCTGGGGTCTTGGGCCACTCCAGATAGTATATGCTGGTGGGTTGATTTATGGTGGACACCTGCATTTGTTGACTGGGACCCTGAGCTACACTGTGTCAACTTGCCACTGGTTAACTAAGGCTAGTCACACGAACTCCTTGATTACCTAGCTAACCTTCTGTGCACCTGCACATCAACGGCCAGGGGAGCTTCTCTAGTGGTTGATGCTCTGAATGTGTTGTCCCATATTGTTGAGGGAAGAATTTATGGTATCTCAGAGAACCAATGGTGGTTGAGCCTGGGTTCTCCATGATTCCAACCAGCCCACTTTTCCTTTACTGATTCTAGTCTACTTTTCCCATTTTAAACTGTAGCTGGGAGTATAATGACCACTGGGTCCCCTGAGGCCTTTTAGTGAACGATTGAGCCTGGAGGGTGGCCTTGGAAACCCCCCCTCCCCAAAACAGCAATCATAAAGCTCCAAATATATCTCAAACGCAAAAAGTCAAGCGGATGTCATATTTTTGTTTAGTACAACAGCTTTCAGAGGGCTATATTTGTAGTCTACTTAAAGAAAACAGGTGTGGCTAGGCACTGGCTGGTGGCTCACACTTGTAAATTCTAGCTACTCAGGAGGCTGAGATCTGAGGTTGATGTTCACAGCCTAGACAAGGATGCCCATGAACTCTTACCTGCCGTTAACCAACAAAAAGCCCAGAGTGAAGCTGTGATTCAAGTTGGTAGAGCATTGACCTTGAACAAAAAAGCTAAGGGACAGTGCCAAGACCTTGAGTTCAAGCACTAGTACCAGCACAAAAACAGAAAGAAGAGAGAGGGGGGAGAGGGAGAGGGAGAGGGAGAGAGAGAGAGAGGGAGAGGGAGGGATGAGAAGGGAAGGGAAGAGCCCAATTGGTGACAACTGTCAAAATAGATCTGACAAGAGGTTTGAACAGCAGAGAGTGGATCTGTGCTTACAATGCCCTGAGATTTCTGCCTTAACATGGGGTGGGTGAGCACATTTCTTGTCTCTATAGGAAGGGAAAGGTTTCAGAGACTTCTCCCTCAACTTACTCATACATCTTTTCTTCATCTCCTTGGTTCTGGCTCAAAGGTGTAGCAATTTCCCATTTCTTACCTAATAGATGGAGAGAGACAGCATATACATTTAGGATGAATTAGCAAAAGTTGTAATTTCAGAGTTTGGAAGTTTTCAGAGATCAAGTAGGTCTAGGGTATCTGGAAGATGAACTGCCAGGAGGGAACAGGACAGAATACAGAGCTGACCAGTGGTGGAACTGGCACTGAACCCAGGCTACCAAACCAGAAGCTGCTGGCACCCAGCAACAGAGAAGGTGGGTGGCTGCTTCTTCACGCCTGTGCACTATGCCTGACACTTGATGGTCACTCAGGAATGAGATAAAGAATAGGAAAAGCAATTTATAAGCTTGAATGTGTTGGCCATATACTTTTATTTATTACAACTTGCTTTCTAATGTGAGATAAAAGAGGGCAGGTAAGGTTTTTTTGGTTAGGATCATACTTTTATCTGTATCTAAGAAAGAAAAATTTTACAAAGGCAAATGGATAGAGAGGAGTGTAGGAGTCCACAATGCACTGTTTTTCATTCGTGTATATTAAATATACAAGTACTGGGTTTTAGAGTATACTTTTTGTTTTTGTTTTTGTTTTTGGGGGGTCTGGTCGTGGGGCCTGAACTCTGGGCCCGGGTGCTGTCCCTCAGCTCTTCAGCTCAAGGCTAGCGCTCTACCACTTGAGCCACAGCGCCACTCCCGGCTTTCTTCTTTTTGCTTATGTGGTGCTGAGGAATCGAACCCAGGGCCTCAGGCATGCAAGGCAAGTGCTCTACCACTGAGCCACCTTCCTAGCCCCTGATCCTCTGTTTTCTTATCCATAAACTGAAATGATGAAGAAGATTGTCTGCCTCATACAGTTGTTGAAAGGACTAAGGACTGAGCAGCTGGGCTGTGGAGAGCAGTGAGTACTGAGAGGAGTCAGCAGCTCTAAGCTGCACTTCCATGCTGAAGGAAGTTCTCGTGGTGTGCAGCAAAGCCCAGCTGAAGACACAAGCCTTGCCAATTCTGGAAATTTTCCAACCATGTTCTGCTTTCATTTCTCTTATGAACACAACGTATTTATTGGTTTTATGCCCTGGGACTAGGGATGATTCCCAGCTTGGGGGGTTGACCAGTTCTGGTCAGGTTCTACCTCTTATCTAGACAGGATCTTGGCCCCCACTTTGGCTCCTGAGTCTGAGTCCTTGTGACCCCTTCCGAGCTCCCCAGTCTCTTGCTAGCAGTTTTTTTTTTCTTACTCTTGTGGAGCAGTATCTTCCTCTACCCCATGTTTGCTTTGTAGCTAGACACCCCCCTCCCCACCCCACCCTTGATGCTCCACAAATAGGGCCAAGTAGCATCAGGCACCATATTCTGGTCAAATCACAGATCTTCACTCACTTTGGTCTCCTTTTCCTTCCTGAGATATCACTAAGATGGCAAAAAGTTAAAATAATAATAATAATAATAAATGTATAAACCTTAGCTTCTCAAACCTTAGCTTCTTATCTGATAATCATGAGCTGAAGATAGCCTGGGCAGAAAAAAAGTCCATGAGACTCTTATCTCCAATTAACCAGAAAAATGCCAGAAGTGGAGGTGTGGTTCAAGTGGTAAAGCACCAGCCTTGACAGAGAAACTTCCTTTGTAAACTGAGGAGGCTGAGATCTGAGGATCACAGTTCTAAGCCAGCCCAGGCAGGAAAGTCTGTGAGACTTCTACTCCCAGTTCACCACCAGAAAACCAAAAGTGGTGCTGTGGCTCAAAGTGGCAGAGTGCTAGCCTTGAGCAAAAAAGCTCAGTGACAGTGCTCAGGCCCTGAGTTCAAGCCTCATGACTGACCAAAAAATAAATAAATAAAAGGGGGGAACAAAGATTGAGAGGATGTGTTGTGAAACTTTAGGGGAGACTGAGGTAGGAGAACAGGAAGCTGAGTGTTCGTACCCAACAGCCCCCACCTCCCCACTAAGTGAGCAACAAACTCCTTCAATGTTTTCTTTTTTTTCTTTTTTGCCAGTCATGGACCTGAACTCTGGGTCTGGGCACTGTCTCTCAGCTCTTCAGCTCAAGGCTAGCGCTCTACCACTTGAGCCACAGCAGCACTTCCAGCTTTTTCTGCTTATGTGGTGCTGAGGAATTGAACCCAGGGCCTCATGCATGCAAGGCAAGCACTCTACCATTGAGCCACCTTCCCAGCCCTCCTTCAGTGTTTTCTAGCCCAGCTTTCTTCCCTGCATATCCCTGTGGCCATTCCTTCTGGAGCATTCCTTCCTCCTCACCTGCTCCTTCCCAGTGAACATACCTCAGCTTCCTGTAGGGGTTATGCCACTCACCTGGTCATAGCTCATGATGAGCAGGTGACAGGGAGCCTGTTGCACTAACAGTTATCTCGTGGTATGTTTGTTGTTTCTTCAATGTCTCCCACGCTGACATGTAAGGATCAGGTATGCAGGGTGAATGAAAGACATCATGGTTTCTTTCTCCACTCTGGACAGACTTCTTTTGTGACAGTATGATAGTGACCACTTGTATGTGAGTTGTTCTTTTTAAGGTTACTTCCCTTGGTCCCTGTTCCCTTTGCAAGGTTAGCTCCTCTTCCTTTGCCTGGCATCGTGAGCCCTCCAGAGAAGCTGCTACCTAAACCATTTAGATGCTAACTTCAGCCTACATGGATGGTTCATGCCTGTAATCTTAGCTACTCAAGAGACTGAAATCTGAGGGTCACGGTTTGAAGCCAGCCTGGGCAGAAAATTCTGTGAGACTCTTATATCCAATTAACTACCAAAAAAAAAAGCTGAAAGTGGAGCCATGGCTCAAGTGATAGAGCCCTAGCCTTGAGCAAAAAGTTCAGGGGCAGTACCCAGGCCCTGAACTCAAGTCCCATGAGAGAGAGAGAGAGAGAGAGAGAGAGAGAGAGAGAGAGAGAGAAAGGGGCTGGCACCTCCACTTCTGACTTTTTGCTGGTTAATTGGAGATAAGAATCTCTCATATTTGTCTTCCCAAGGCAGGCTTCGAACCATGATTCTTAGATCTCAGCCTCCTGGCTATGTAGGATTATGTGTACCAATGCCCAGCTTTAGGAGAAAAGATTGAGCAAGGCATTCCACAGAGGCAGGGGTGGGGTGGGGTGTGGGTGGAAGGTGTGAGTGGTGGTAGGAAGCAGCTAGACAGCTCTAACTTTCACTTCTCAAAAAAAATGAGCCAGTGCCAGGCGTCGGTGGCTCACACCTGTCATCCTAGCTACTCAGGAGGCTGACATCTGAGGATCGAGGTTCAAAGTCAGCCCAGGCAGGAAAGTCCGTGAGACTCTTATCTCCAATAAACCACTAGAAAACTAGAAGTGGCGCTGTGGCTCAAGAGGTAGAGCACTCGTCTTGAGCTGAAGAGCGCAGGGACAGCGCCTAGGCTCAGAGTTCAAGCCCCCACCCGACCAAAAAAAAAAAAAGAGCCAGTGATGATGACATCACCCTTCATCAGAAGTTCCTGAGGCTGGATTTATGTGGCACAGTTTACTTTCTCAACCAAGATCCTTAGTAAGAAATACAGTTGGCAGGGCTGGGAAGGTGGCTCAGTGGTAGAGCGCATGCCTTGCATGCCAGAGGCCCTGGGTTTGATTCCTCAGCACCACATAAGCAAAAAGAAGAAAGCCGGGAGTGGCGCTGTGGCTCAAGTGGTAGAGCGCTAGCCTTAAGCTGAAGAGCTGAGAGACAGCGCCCAGGCCCAGAGTTCAGGCCCCATGACCGGATCCCCCCC